TAGTAGAAAGAGTCTCAACATCACGGAGCATCATGGATGGGGAGCAATCCCTGTCTGCTTTACTCATGATTGTCTAGGAGTGTATGATCTGGGACAAAAATATTTATGAAGCAAAAGACCACTAGTGGTCCTATAGAACACCCCATCTTGACAGTGTGAGTAATCTAATCCTGCAATGTAATTGATTTGGCATAGATGACAATTGAATGGAGACACACAACCAACACCTAGCGGCATCTGGAACTATACATCAAGTCCACAGTAGGAAGAGCTACAACATAACTGACATCGAGCCTGGTCAAAGGATGGACATTGCAGATATTACAAAAAAAAGTATACCTAATCAGGCACCACTCACCACAGAGTGGGATCCATAATACACTAGCATAAAGACCCCTGTAAAGAAAGAAATAACTAAAACATAGTACTCATCAGTCATAACGACAGTGCAGTGTGTAAGGTGGCAACTGGAGGTAAACGAAAATCTGCCGAGTAAGAAATGGCCACGTGATGTAGATAATGGACTAAACAAATGGTTATGAGAACCATGTAAGGTAGCAGAGTGAGATACAATTGGAGGGCCCAGACCAAATACAGGAAGCAGTCAGGATCAGAATGGTCATAACTGAAGGAAATGGGGGATAAGGGAATGGGAGAAAAAGTGTAAATACCCTCCCCTAGCAGCAGAAGTCTCAGGCAAAAACGAATGGTTAGGAAAGTGGAGAACATAGGAGCTGTGGAAAATCACACGAGTGTCAATCACAAAGAACACAGATCACTGCTGGCCACAAGCCAATAATATGAGGAATAGGGAAACTTTACAGGAAATATGAAGACAAAGGTTCAAATGGAGGAGGAGTGAGAGCATGAAGGACAACATGGAGATTCCAATCTAGGAGAGACACAGGCCATAGAGGACAGAAAAGGCAATGAGAATATAACAACATAGACAACATGGAAGATTGGAAGACAGAGACAAACTCTGTAAAGATGAATGTGCAAGATAATGCAGCTCGATAGCCATTAATCAAGGAAACTGACAGTCCCCTATTGAAAAGCCAAGTGAAAAATCATTCAACTGTGGTAGGGGACGTTGTGAAGGATGACATCCTCAGCAGAGTGACCAGGAGTGAAAAGTATACCATTTATGCTGATAAACCGCCAAGGAGGAAGAACGTACAGGATGGGCAATCAACGTGACAAATGGCTGGAGAATCTGAATTGTCTCGCAAGGGATAGGACCTCCTGAAGCTGGAAGGTGAGAATAGATGGAAGATGCACACCTGGTTGAGGTAGATGAAGGTGCATGGGAAAAAATGGCAAAGGAAGGGGTAGAAAGCCTGTGCAGAATGGAAACTACATCTGAGCAAGACAAAATGGAGTCACTAGGAACACACAACACAGAATTGTCTGAATCAATGAAAAGACCCTGGGAAGAAGATGAATAGAAGGATATGCATACAGGTAATATATTTTCCAATACTGATGGAGAGTATCTACAGCTTCAGCCAAAGAATGAGGAACAGGAGACCAAAAATGAAGAAGTTGTGCATTAAAATGTGTGGCAGGAGCATCACATCTGGAATACTCCAATGCCACACAACTTCCAAAACACCTTAAGAGCATATAAGGGATCCCGAAAGAGGCTCCATTGGTCAAGTTACACCCACTGAATGTGACATATGTGGGCATGACCAAAGGGAATGAGGGCTTCGAGAGAAGTCCACATCCCCAAAAGAGATAGTCTCTCATGCACTAGGAGCGGAAGAGGCTGATAGACTGCAAATGAGACATGCCATGCCTCATAAATGAAGGGGAGAAGGCTGGGCCCAATTGATGAGGGAATTAAAAAACACATCCAGATGAATCAGATATTGTGTGGGTGTGAGAAACAACTTTTCCACTTAAAGAGCCAACTCACTCCGGCTGCCTCTTGAAGAAGAAACTAAGTATGAACAGCAGATTCAAACTGACAGGAAGCCAAAAGTAGTCAGTCATCCATCTAATGGTGGAAACAAAGGCCTCTGGCATGAAGCAGTCAAGCAAAAAACCTGACTACTCAGCAGAAAGCAAAAGGAGCTAAAGCCGGACCAAATGGTAGAGCCCAAAATTGATAAGCATGCCCTAATAACAAAATGGAGAAAATGGCAGGAAGCCTGGAAGATGGAATGTGTAGATAGGCATCCAACATGCCAACCTTCCTCAACCACAACCTGGGAGTGAAAACCCACTGAAGGGTTAAGTAAGACTTCTACATGAATTTAGGTATGACCAGGAAATGGTTAAGGAGCGATAAATCTATAACTAGTCTTCAATCTCCCATCTTATTGGGTACGACAAACAGACAGGAGTCAAACCCCGGCTGAGAAGCTTCCAAAGTTCTATGGCCTATTTCTGAAGTAAGTCTCAAACACTGGCAAAAAAAACAGGATGGGGAGGGGGAGCAACAGTATGAGGAAACAATGGGAAAGGTGGATGGAATGAAGGGCCTGACCCTCTGAAAGAACCTGTAGGACCCATGGATCTATTGTAAATGGTGTCCACATATGTAATGAAAGATTCCAAACGTTGGGAATCAAGATATGGGAAGGAAGATCGATGAAATGCATAAACATGATCTGCAGATGTACTTGATGGACAAGGCATATTAACCCCCAACTAAAGTTGATCCCCAAAATACTGGGTATGCACCCTAACATCAGGTGAGGGAGGGAACACTAAATATTGGACCATATATTCTTCACCAAAGGAGGGTAGGTTTAGAATCATAGGAAACAGGAGATAAGGATAAGACAGCACAAACTTGATTCATTAATTCCACTAATGATGGGAAGCCTATTCAGTGGGGGAATAGGTTGTCCAAATTTATATCCTCCCTCTCAGACACCCAATGAGCAGCATGACAGGATATTCCTCCTGTGGTGGTGAAGGTTGCATGAACATGGACAATTCTCATCAAATAAATGCAGTCACATCTTTGGCCAATAATTGAGTACTCAACCCGATAGTAGTGGTCAGGAAACCCACAGCAGCAGTAACAGCTGTGGTAGTTGTAACTATCTGAAACTGTGAGTGCATAGTGACAATACCAAACTTGAAGACAAAAAAAAAAAAACAATGAAAAAGTGGGAAAAGTTGGAAAAAGCAACCTTTCACATTAAAAAAAAAGAAATATTAAAGAAAAATGATGTCTATAATATAAAGGAAAACTTGGACAAATTTGAGAGCAAAACCAACACGTCTGTACAGTACTACTACCAATCGAGAAGTGATTACCGAGTGCAAATGTGGAGGGGGTTTGTTTGTTTGTTTTGTGCAAAGCTACACAAGGGCTATCTGCACTAGCCGTCTCTAATTTAGCAGTGGGAGGTGGAAAGCTAGTGGCAAGCATTGAAAATATGCATTGATAGAGGGCAGTACTAATTGAGAAAAGCTATTTTGTGAGAGAGGTAAGATATTGTATCGCAAGTTAAGTTTATTGCTTAGTGAGTATGGTAGGTCATTGCAAAATATTGTGATGACTCAAATCTTTATTGCATATCATTTTTATGTTTATCCTATTCAAACAACATTTATAAAATAAATTGTCTAACTGACTACTTAAATATTTGTAATTGTAAACATGAGAGTAAAACATGTTTTCATTATTTAATTATCAATTTATTTGATTTATAGAATATCAGTGTGAAATTATTGCATATCTGAAAACAAACAATGGCAATCACTTGGTGGTATTTAGTCAACATTAGCAATTCATCTGCCCAGTAGAAAATGTTCATAAAACTTGTAGGAAAACATGTTTTTTGCAAACGCACAAATGGCAACCATCAGAAGAGAAATATCATATGAAATTAAGAGTAATTTGAAAACTACTTAAAGAAAAAAACAAGTCAATGTAAAAAAGTAAGAAAATTAAAACCATGTTAGAAGACATTAGCACATACCCGTCACATTTTTCCACACTCATAAGCAATGCCTGTCGTCAGGCCTTAACTCAGTTGAATGACAATTGTTTTTGTGGTACCGTAATTCCTTTTTTTTCTCAGCATGAGCTTGAACAAGAGAACTATCAAATGACAGGTTGTGCTTCACCAACCGAGATACAGGATTAACATAATAGCATTTGTTAACAAGGCACTTTTTAACAGCTCAGTCTACAACATTCTTCTCCTTTTATCAGCAAGGCCCTGTCCACAGACCTTAGCTCATGGTCATGGGATGCCCTACATTGGGTTCCAGTTTCTCTGTGATAATTTCCTTATTTGGAATCAAACCAGAAACTTCTTGCATACTAGGTGAGTACTCAATGAACAAAACTAAAAGGTTACCCACTAGTACTAAGGTATGTTTTAACAACTCAAACTACCACAGATTCTTCTATGACTGAAGCTGAAGCAACCAAAGTTCAGATTCAACTAACAGTAATATCTTAAGTTAATTATGAAACTTAAAATACAGGCTATTTAAAAATTTCCTATGACACAAAATATGGCAATATATTTTCAAGTTGTCTTTGTTCTACATAGATATACATATGAAATTATTTAGTTTATTTCTACTAATACACTTGCTGGTGATATTATGAATCAAAACAAAATCTAGGTCATTACACACATGATACCTTTTAAAATTGGTCACACTCCCTAACCAAAAAGGTTTTATGACCAAAGGTTTATATATATATTTTCACATACTTCTAAACAAAGATAGAACATAAAAACTAATAAGAACTTCTTCTCAAACCTGAAATTCAAAATATGAATGTCTAAAAACAAAACAACGAACAACATAAGGTACACTTAATTCCTGGGATGGTCAAACAACAACTAATTTTACTATCTTGACTCTTCTGAAAAACAATCCAAGTCCTTAGAAGTAAAATTAAATATTGGTTAGCCTGGTCAGCATAACAGCTCTACTAGGCTTAATCTTAACCTCTGTGTTATGAGTTACAAACCACCAACTTCTATGTTATACTAAAACACCAGGTTTTTACTCACCAAATCTGCCAAAAGGTGTACTGGCTGTCAAACCTGCTGTACTCAGAGCATATTGGAAAAAAGATGGGGTACTCATACTGTGAGTTAAACGTCCCTGAGATGGTCTCAAAACAGATGACATAGGAACAAACTCTGCTGCACTAGGATTTGGAGTCTGGAATAACCATTATGTAAAGCAACAGTTTTGCTACTGCTTTTAAGGTTTTTGATTACAGTTAACTAATCTAACTATTTTGGAAGCTAGTAACATTCAACTTCGTACTAACCATAGAAGTCCCTTTACTAAATGCATATATTATATATATATGAAAAATTTCATGTTTTAAAAATAAATATAATACACAAGTAGATGTCACATGTGTCTGATTTTAATAACCAAACTTCACCTGAATATAAGAACTGTTCTGTTTCATATTTGCAGGGGGGGGGGGGGTTAAAATATTAAAAGTTACTTTCAATTATTTAAAAAGTACTGGCATACACACAAACTTTAAGAGATAAAGCTTACAATTCAGTGCATGGATATATTAATAAAAAATTAATTTCACAAAATGGAATAAGTGTATTTCAATAGTACAAGATTAATCACATAGCTTTAATTTATACAGCTATAAGCCTGTAACATAGCATATCACATAGTAATTTAATATACAATAAAACTAAGTACTAAACACAAACAATTATTATATGGCACAGCACCTTTCTTGAAGTTTCAACAGCTAGAGCAGCCATGGCACTTGTAACATCATCAAAATGCAGGTTGGAGGATGAAGGCACAAAGGATTTGGATTTCTCTAATGATGGAGACAGTGTGCGTGGTGTGGTCTAGTCAATGAAAATGATGTAATTTGTTAGTTTCAAGAATTCATACATTTAGTAAAGATACTTACCATGACATAATATTTTTTTGCCTCTCTGATTTACTACAATATGACTTGAGAGTACTATGACTACATATTAGTCAGCAGAACATTATAATTTTACAGATAGTAGATTTTGAGACATTCCATATTCAACCAATGGGAGATAGGGAGGTTTTAAGCATCCTTAGAAATAAGAAACCAACCTGAAATACAAGTTAAAAATAAAATACAATTACAAAACATACTTTTTACACATCACAGAGTGATAGGACCCTAACACTAAAAACAGACAAAAAGATTATCAATTTAAAATCAGGTTAACATTTATCATATTAATTTAGTATAAAATTAAAAGTGGCAGAATTTGAGGAAGTTGTGTCATGCACAAAGTAGTTAGGAATAAAAAACAAGATATACCACTAGTTCACAAGTTCTTTTTCTGCAGAACACCTGAATTTTTTTATTTCAGCACAACACAATGGGATCTATACACTATGCATAGCTTTTTTTTTGTAATTATGCAACCTTTCCACGAACCACCTGAATGGAGACTAGAGACCACAAACTGAAAATCACTGAGCTACACAGATTTTATTATTCATATGATGAAATTAAAACAAAGTTAAATAGTTTCTATTTCATCTTTTTCTTCCTCAAGTTTAGAAACAGAAAAATCCAATGTTAGGGTAAAAATAGTGGTGTTTAACAAAGAAAAGAGTGTACAGTACCTAATACATACCATTAGCAATCGACGTGTTCGAAGGAAAACGAAGTTTGATTATAAACAAGATTATGACACTTATGATATACAACACTGTTT